CCCTCCCTTCCTCCCTCCCTTCCTCCCTCCCTCCCTTCCTTCCTCCCTTCCGTCCTTTCTTCCTTCCTGATGGTGGCTGTGGAGAGGGTCTTGAACAATCACAAGGTATTCTTTACTTTGAAAACAGGTATCATAGAATAAGAAACCATCATCGAGGCAATGTGTAAAATTGATAAATTTTAAAATAACAAGGAAAGGTAACATTTTTCTAAGTGTTTTATTTTCCTATTTGCCATGGTAAGTGATATGTAAATAAAGAAGTGTTGGTTGACTTGCCTTTAGAAGCCTTCATCTCCCACCCTGATACTGTGTCCTAGTAATATATTTTAATTTCCAGACTTCCAAGCCACGAGGCCTACTGCAGCCTAGAGTTCCTGAATCAACCTTCTGAGCTCTAGGGCCTCCCTTCTAGGAATGTCATAGAGCCACTGGGACAGGGATTTTCCACAAAGTTCTTTCCTTGAACCATGGGAATTACCTTGGACTTTTTTTTTTTTTTTTTTTTTTTTAGCGATATGTGGGCCTCTCATTGTCGTGGCCTCTCCCGTTGCCGGACACGCAAGCTCAGCGGCCATGGCTCACGGGCCCAGCCGCTCCGCGGCATGTGGGATCCTCCCGGACCGGGGCACGAACCCGTATCCCCTGCATCGGCAGGCAGACTCTCAACCACTGCGCCACCAGGGAGGCCCTACCTTGGACTTTTACGACTGATTTTTGTTGGATAAAATATCCTGTCTTGCTTTTAGCCCTGTCTTAAGATCTTTACATTCTTTCCAAGAGTGCTGCAACTGTTTCAGGGAGATTCCCCCTTATTGTTCAGCAATGCCTGAATTACACTTAGGAAACAAAGAACTCCCCCAGACATAGTGTAAAACCTCTGGCTAAGAGCATATTTAACGTTCTTCCAACTCTGAGACTCTGCACATCAGAGCAGCATGAGCACCACACCCCGGGGTCCCATGGTTGACAGTTGATGCTGTTTACAGCATATGCAGAAACGTTCTGGTGCCCCCTCAGGGGCACTGGAACATCTGGTAACCGTCGTGATTCCTTCCATCCTATTTTCTTCCAGCAAGCAGAATTGTTACCTCCTGTGACTCAGTCACTGCTCAGTAGAGAAAGATACTCTCTGGGGTAAGAGACTGACAGGCACTGCTAGTACTGAGAAATTAGCCTTTCAACTTTGAAACATACAGTGCTGTCTTTGTCCAGGGTCCAAGGTAGTCATGCAGGACAGTATCAGGTAAAATCTGAACCAGCACTTGAAGTTGGGAGGTGAAGAGGGGATTATTGCCCCAGATACTTTACGATGAATGCCGCTTTTTTCTCTGTAGATATAAGTAGCTATGATACATCCTCTCTTTAGTGTTTAATCAGTTCTACTCTAAAGGGAAAGAAAAGGAGATTAACATCTAGGAAAAAGAGAACGCATTCTGTTGTGCTTAAAATCCTAATTTGAATTTAAAGGCACTCTGTATTACTATCTGAGTTGCTGTAGAAACAGTAAGGGTCATATTTATTTTAGTATTGTTAGTGACTTCCTTAATGATACTGCTTCTTGATTCCTTTTCCTCAATTTAAATAATTTTTCTTACCCTCCTATAGACCTAGGGAGGAACTGGGATCCCAGTTATTATAAAAAGTATATTTGCATGGACTAGGTTGAAAAAAACTCTTAAGATGAAAAGTTAATTGTGCATGGAACCTCTGCCTAAATATTATAAAATGAAAAATCAGGTCTCACGTATTGCAGTGGTCTTCCTGGATGTTTGTGCAAATTGAGTATATTTGAAATGTACTGGAGGAGGCGGCTATTTTAAAAACAACAGTGGTTAATTTTAATTCTGTCAGCTACAAAATTATGTAGCACATATAATCACCTCCTAAATTGTCTTGTGGAACATTAAAGAACAAGAAGAAGAATGAGTTAGATACGTCTAGTTACGTTGGAAAGTAATGTATGTTATAACCTAAAAGGCAAATTGATAACTCAGTATACATAAGCTGGTTTCACTTTGTCCACCTAACAAACAGAATTAATTTTAAAAGGTCAGAAATGTGTTGCTAATATTCAGTTTGTTATTATTGTTCATTATCAGGACATCTCCTCTGTCATCACATTTTACTCCCTGACATATATTAGTTATTGTGCAATTCAGTGTTTTAACTGCCTCAACTACAGGAATATATAAAATCAAGAAAATGTTTTATTATAAATCCTAGAGGCTGTTCAAATTTATATGTAACTGAAACATAATTGTGCTGTGCGAATCAGTGCAAAAGCTGGAGACCTGTAAATACTACAACAGTATTATATGGTCACCTGGTAAGTGTTTAGCAGCTGCACCAAATGTCGTTTTGTAATTAAATCGAGCCCAGGGAATTAAAGTTGATTAGTTGTACAGACTCTACCTCTAGGCCTGGCTGTGGCTATAGATTTTGTTTTATAATTAAGTTAAAGCTCAACTAGGGAAGTGAAGAATTAGAGCCTAATTCTAGAGTGAATGTAGCAAATAGTAGAAAGACTGTTTTTTCTCCCACATTCCTCACAAATTTCACCACTTTGTTAATGATCTATCTCAAAGCATTTAAAGTCTCTTTTTTTCTGAAGTGTTCTTTACCCAGGCTTCTGAGATCATTAGGATTGGCTGCTGCTGTGATTGTCCATTTTTCCAGTTGTCTTCTAAGGAACAGGGTTGACAGAGGGTTGAGAGAGCACCCAGGAGGAGTTTTATGTAGATTGTCTGACAGAGGGGCGTAACAAAAATGCAAGGTGAAAGAGAACTCAGAAGACAATTAGACTGTCCAGGAAGAGAGAAACATTTTATGTGTAACAGAAAAAAATATTACTCATAATTTAAAGATTGTCAGAAAAGCAATCCCAGACCTGTGGGCACAAATACAGGGACTACTCTAAAGGTCTGGTGGTAGTGGGTCAGGGTGCCGAGTGGAATCCTAGAGAATGTTGAACCTATGAGAAAACCCCAAATCTGCTTTCTTTCAGTTTCTGCAAAATTTGTTTGTGTTTTATTTAAAGGTGTAAATTGGTGAGGCAAGAGTATTTTGTTTCCCAAATTGGTTGGTTAGAGACAGAAGAAAGCAAGGCTATTAGGCTGAAAGTCAAAAAATAATCTATAATCTTATTGATTACTTAAGGATACTGTAAAGCAAGTATTGTTTCCATATTTCCCTCCCCTCTGTTGAAAAAAGATAAATGATACCATCTATATTTCATTACCATGTGTTCTATTCTAGATATCATAGTATTGACACCTTTCTGTGTGAATTTCAAAACCACAGTTTTGTTATTTTGTTTTCGGTATTTGTAAAGGAGTGTCAGATTCCTGTCTTATCTCTGGACTTAATTACAGTCTATGGAGGCAAGTCCCAGAAAGCTGCATTTTTATGAAGCTTTCTGGATAGTTCTGATACACAATGAAGTTTGTGAATCACTGTAATAAAATGACAACAGGATTGTTCTGGTGGAATCTAAGACCTGATTCTGTTACCCAAAGTTTCCCAGCACCAAAGCGTACTGGCTGGATTTGGGTAATGCTGAAGAAAACCCATGATTAAGAATGCTAAGAGAGTAATACTTGAAGCAAGCCTTTAAAGTAATTTTTTCTGCCTTTTTTGGGGGGGAATCATTTCTGTATAGCATCAGAAGTACCAAAAGAACTGACTGTGAAAGATGGTTGAAGATGAACTTAATATCCCAGGCACGGGCTTGTCATGTGACTGCTTAGTCTTTCTGAATTTTTACCACCAGTTTCTTCCTACTGGAATGAGATATGTATACACATATGAGTAGATGGAAGGGAAGACTTAAAGGCTATTTATTTCCCAAGTAGTTTATGTTGTACTCTTCTTTCCCCAGGTATTCAGTATTAAGAGGAATGTAAGGGCATACCTGATATCTTGAGGTAAATCAGGAATAAGCTCCTTAAAAAAATGGGAAATTTTTGTCTATGGAAAACAGGACTCAGTATGGGGAGAAATGGGGCGAGGTACTGCTCTGCTCTATTTATTATACTACAATTTGTATACAATTTACAAATTATATAAACACTGAATTAATTTGTCCAAATATATATTTATTAAAGAGTAACAGTTTGGAGGGGGATAGAGATATGTGGAATAAAGAGGACAGGGTAAGGAGCAAATCATTCCAGGAATAGAAAGAGAGAAATTACAAAGCTTATAGTTGAAACTAATACTTTGTCTGGTTGAGAATATTCGTAAGCCCTCCTAGGCCATGTCAAGGATTAGGATGCCCACAGTTTATTAAAGGTGTGCTCCCAGGGGAAGCCAGTAAAAGAAGGGGGAATAAAGAAGCAAAATAGTGAAAGGAGAGTGTGTCTTGGGTTCCCAAGACCACCCCCAGGTTCTTTAATTAACTAGGGGAACTTAGAGAACTCAGCATATGGTCATACCCGCAGCTATGATTCATTTCATCAAAAGAGTACAAAGCAAAATTAGCAAGAGAAAAAGGCACATGGGGCAAAGTCCAGAGAAAACCAGGCACAAGCTTCCAAGAGTCCTCTCCCAGCGGAGTCAAATTGATTATGCATAATTTTTCCACCAGTGAAGTGTTGTCTACCTGGGAAACTCACCTGAGCCTAGGAGTCCAGGGTTTATATTGGCTCAGCCACGCAGTCACCCTCTGCCTAACACATACCAAAATTCCAGACTCCCAGAAGGAAAGCAGGTGTTCAATATAAGCCACGTTGTTTGTATGAATACTTTAAGCCCACTGAGCAACACTTATCATGTAGAGAATGTGGAGCCCTCCAGA